AAGCCATCAACCCTTAACCCTAAACCCTAAACCCCCAAACCCTAAACCCTAAACCCCTAAACCCCTAAACCCCTAAACCCCTAAACCCCTAAACCCCTAAACCCCTAAACCCTAAACCCGAAACCTTAGACCCTTAGGCTGAGAATGCTCTTGAGGCCCAGGATGACCTTGAGGTCTCACACCTCGAGGCTAGAAACGGTTCGGCCCCGAGGAAACGACCGGAACCTCGACCCAAAACCACCCCAATAACGGGTTTAGGGTTTAGGGCCTGTCTGTCACGCGGCATATATGAGGATTCGATAAGGGCTCTATGGTCTAGGGTCTGTAGCAATGGCAATAGACTTTGGGGGCCCATTATGGTACAACCATGTGGGGACTACAAGTGGGAATAAGTACCACGGTGGCTCCAGCAGCATTTGGAAAATCAGACACTCGGCAAACTCCGAAACCCTAAATCCTAAACCCTAAACCCTAAACCCCTAAACCCTAAACCTCTAAACCCTAAACGAGGCATCGACGAACTAGGCACCGGCCAAGCCTTGATGACCATCGCGGCGGGGCCAAAAGGAGCAAAGGGTGAAGCTGTGTCTCTTCTCAGTACCTAAACCCTAAACCCTAAACCCTAAACCCCTAAACCCTAAACCGTGACCCTAAACCCTAAACCCTAAACACTAAACCCTAAACCCTAAACCCTGATCCTGTTTGCCCTTTGCTAATGCTATACTACTACCTAACGACTGTTTAGACTTCACGCATGTCGCAAACACCATTTGAGGAGAAAAGCTGCGGGTCAGCAGGGTTTAGGGTTGAGCTCTGCCCATATACAGATTATAGCTCTGTGTGTCTGTCTGTGTGTGCATATATGTGTGTACACACACACACCCTTGCATGCATGCATACGAAAATATTACCGTCAGGAAATATTGGCATATCATAGCAGGGGCCTGGCTGGGAGTGCCCCGACTTGATTCTGATGGCCTTGCAGATGCCGCGACATCAGCACGCTGACACACCGGTGAAGCTTGTAGCACACCAGCGACTCCGGACCCTAAACCCAAAGCCAAAACCTGTCCTTCAACCCTGAACCCCCAAGCCCTAAACCTTCCTCGAACTCCTCAAGACACAAGAGCCCCAAAGCTCCACAATCCCAAGCATTCACAACTCCCAAGGCTACACGCAGAAACTTGTTGATTTATATGGATAGTTCTATAATTAGGATCCCTTGCTCAGGTCCCCAAGATAGTATGGCACCCTGACAAACAGGACCCTAACAGGGACCCTAATTTAGAGAACTACCCTATATGACACCCGAAACCGTGTTGCAGTCCGGAGTCCTCAGAAATCGCAGCAACGGTTTCGGAGTTAGGGTTCGGGATTCAGGGCTGGTCCTTCAGGCTTTTGCGACTTGGATTCATATGCTTTCGTTGGTGTGGGTCCACGGTTTCAAGATATAAACCTTAGACTCTGAACCCTACTCCCTAACCCCTAAACTAAACCCCCAACCCCTACACCCAAAACCCTGAACCCCTGAACCCCAAACCCTACAGCCTTAATCCCTAAACCGCTAAAGTCCTAAAGGTCTAAAAGCATTCGCCCGCTTTGTGTCTCGGCTCCAAAGGCTCGCCGGAGTTGAACTCACCGGGCCTCTGTTGGGCTGCGGCTTAGGGTTTGGGGCAGCCCTTTCTGTAAGTTTTAAGGCTTCGGTTTAGTGGCTAAGTTTAAGGTTTAGGGTTTAAGGTTTCGGCTTAGGGTTTACGTTTAAGGCTTAGGTGTAAAGATTTAGATTAAGGTTTAGGGTTTAGGTTCTGACAGTGGCATCAAAACCAGCATGAACCCGATATCCTCCTCAAACCGCCTTTTTGTTGAGGGGGCCTTCGTAAATCGAAGGGGGCTTTAGGGTTTAGGGCTGAAGTTTAGGGTTTAGGGGGGTTTGGAGCTCGGATGGGGTACGCACCAACTTACCAAGCGCACGCGCGCTCGCACCTGAAATACAAACACCCGATACGAAAAACAAATATCTCAGACGCCAAGGAAGTGAGAACGTGTTGGGTAAGGACAGAGAAGAGGAGGAGGACGGACACCATGCTTTCGATCGTGAAAACTCGCATCGTGGTCCTATGAGTTTGACGATTTACATGACCCGGGCCAAGCCCTAAATCCTACTGTAAACACTTTGCCAACACTGCTTCAGGCTCTAACCCCAAACCCTAAACGCATGTATTGCGCCTACCCGGGGCCTTTCAAGTTTGCAAAGACGAGGATTGCAATCTAAGGAAGACCAGGAGCTGGAGACCAGCTCCTGATTTTCCTAGAAAACTCTTCTCTTGTGTAATTCCGTTTAGGGTTTTGGGTTTTGGGTTTAGGGTTGAGGGTTTAGGTGCTGGAGGCTTCACGACCGAATTGTGGACAATGCTCCGGGGAGCATTGACTGACGGGGCTGCAATTATTCATGGACATCTGGGCCATTGTACTGTACCCTCACAAGAACCCCTGCATGTTCAAGCTGGACAAATGCAAAACCGCTTTAGCACGCGGAAGACACGCAATACCACAAAATACTATCACCGTGCTTCTTAGTCCTAAATCTAAATCCCTGCCTTCAATGGCGAAATTTCACGTGTATCACTATGTAGGTTCTGAATTAAGTATGACCACTAGTTAATGGTATACGATGCTATACCGTTGGGGTTCAGGGTTTAGGGAAGATCCCAAGCCTTTGAGACGTGCATTCCAGCCCTCACTGAGAAGTCCGATGTCTCGCGCCTTTCCGTATCCCTTGACGTAGCCCTTCTTGCCCTTGCCAGCGCCCTTTGGCCTGGATTTTGTTTTATTGAGGTTTGGTGGCATGAGTTTGGGGTTTCAGTGCTCAGGGCTTTCGCAGTTTAGTACTGCATGCATTACCAACGTCAGGACTGATGCATTGCAGTTTGGGGTGGAGGGCTGGTGTACTCGACTATCATCTTCAACTCACATCGACCTCTGAACCCTGAACTATCCACCTTCGACCCTGCGGTTGAAAACAGGAGAGGCCACTCGGAGCAGATGAGAGCTGTCCAGCATAAAGCTCTCAGAGTCTGTTCCTGCTAAAGGCTGGCTGCTCTAGGCATCTCGGTGTTGTCGGCGGCCTGTGATTCCATGTCCTCTGCCGTCCGTTTGGTTCCCCTCTCCATCGCGGCCACTTCTCAGCCGTATGACTGCAATGAAGAGCGAAGTTTTGAGCAACTGTATGTAACTATCTATTGTTATATGAGCATAGCACTCAAGAAAATGCAGGTGCTACTTCCTTGACGATTTCTGAGGCCAAGCAATGTCAGAAATCCAGGCCCAACACCTTTAGGGCTGAGAAGTTTACGTTGCTACTAGGGCAATGTCAAACTTTCGATATCTTCCTGTCCTGAAGAAAGGGGCAGCACAAACATGATTCCTTCTAAAAGTCATCAGCAGCTCATCATCGCCCCGTATACACTTCACTCCCACACTCTGCACCTCCAAGCCCAAAAGCCTAACCCGTTTGCATGCACATGAACAACCTAAACACAGCATCAAACCAAGCACCTAAAGCGTAGACCGTAAAACACCAAAACCGGAAAACCTTTACATACTAAACCCTAACTCAAGAGCTGCAACGGCAAATCCCTAAACCCAAAACCCACTAAATCCTATGCCCTCGAAACTCTCGCCCCGTACCACTTCCTCCCTCTTTGGGGCTTATGGGCTAATTAGAGCCTTGGGGACTGCACTTTTTCTGCTGACCAACTGATACTGAGAACTGTGTTGACCATACAGCACGATAAATCAGAAGAGCGTGAGCTGTTGCCGAGTACATCACACGAACCGCAAGAAGGCTAATCCCATTTCCCTAGACGATAACTGTCGGCACCGTTCGCAAGATGCCTGCAACTTGCTTCTTGGCTCAAGGCTGACACTAGACCCTACTTACTTCCCCCAGAAGCCGGGGAAATAAAAGGCTAAACTTTCAGATGATTACTAAATTATAAGAACCCAAAAAGTTTCAAGGTTGGTTATTGGGGAACTAAACCCTAAACCCTAAACTCCCGGCCTGTTCGGCAAGTAGCGTGGCAGCGTGTTTTCTGTGATTGTCCTTGGGACCAAGACAGGACAGTATAGATAAACTGCCCTAAACCCCGAAACACGCTTTACGGACTTCTGAGACATCCCTGGAGGCTTCTTAGCTCAGAGCCGAAGCTGCCACATCGTCATTTGGGGGGTTGTGGAGGGTTTTGGGATTTAGGGTTGTCTAGGGTGTCCCAT